GTCAAATCGTAGACACTGTTGATATTTTCTACAATACGATGCATGGTTTGAAATCTTTGACTATCCCCCCGGAATCTCCAGACCAGTAGTATATTCTCACCCGCCCACTCGTTGCTCTGGACATCTCGTGATTGTTCAGAAATATGTTTCTCTAGTAAACAGTATGATACCAAGTTCTCTTCGTTGGCGAGATCAAGATGGGCTTCGATCGGCAAAGCTGGTTCCCAATGCTTGTGAATGATGGTTGGTCTTGCAAAAGATTCGGTTTGTGATAGCGCAGGCATTGTCGCATCAAGCAGTTCGATTATGAAGCCGAATGTGCCCTATAGAGAATAACCGTCAGCGGGAATCAATATTATTATTAAAACTGTATATACCATTCTTAATTTGAGAGTATCTATTCGGTCCTCATCCAGAAGCTTGCTTTGACCCTTTACGGTCTGCAACAATTGCCGAGGCATCTTCGCCCAAGCCTCATGAAAGATTGCTCGACAAACAAATTTGTGGTATTCTTTAGGCTTCTTTGCGTAGGTGACTTAGGTAGTAATGGAAACAAATGGGAGGCAAGGCATACTGGGGGGCTCACTCAGAGTGATTCCTCCAATAGAATTCTATTTTCAAAGCCACTTCTTACCTGCATTTAATATTGCATATTGCGTTATTAATTGGTAAAGCCCCCAGCGATGAATTCCTTCAGAACCCCAGCAACTACCTACACCTCTCGATCATGGAACCCACGCAACAGCCTAGAGAACCTAGGGGTTATATGAAACTATCTAGATTCATGGTGAATCGTAACCATGTTATTGTTAAGCAGTTTCGCGAACTAGCGGTCAGAGACCTTCTCTACTTACAGGCAGAACTATGCGATTTACAGTATGACATTAATGAGCAATCTGAAAAGGACGTAAACTCGCATAACAAGAAAATACAACTCTGCGATCGGGAGTGGTATCATCTTCGACATATGAATGGTGAAGGAAGGCAGTGGCAACTAGCCCTCCAAATTCGAGACAAGCTACACGAGTACTGTATGTTACCCCTGAATAGTTTCCAAGATACCTACTCCAAGTAGTTACCAAATATCCAACCTATCAGATACAAGGGGATAAATCGATATGAAAAAGCAATCCTAAACATACTATCCATAGTCTAGCAGTACCTAATCGTCAATGAATATAATTATACAGATTCGGCAATCCAGAAATACGAGAATATCGGTGCATTACCACGACCGAGTAAGCGTCGACGTGAAATCGTTCATTCTTATACCCTCAGTTCTACGCTTGGCGGTGACTGCGACTTTATTGGTCGAGACCTCAGCGATGTGCCTCCATATCCGTCGATTCTTTCTGCTCAGAATAGCGAGGACCTGCTCTTCCTCGGAGACGAACCGGGGGATGATGATCCTCTTGCAACGTTCCTTGTAGGTCCTGTCCTATCAGTGTTCCATGCGTGCTGGAGGCAGTTCAAGGTATGTATGTAAGACGTCATCTAATCTAAGCCACACGATGTTGATTTGTCCTGAGGTAGACACGTATGCCAGACTTGGAGTGTCAGGCTTCAAGAGATCGAACTGCTCTAGAACAGTACTCAGATGCAAAAATTCGGACCATAGTGCATACATTGGGTTCTGTCCTGTCTACCGCAGTTCCAATTATCTCAATTGTTGTCCTCTATTTCACTCGGAATATGCCTCTAAGGCTTGGATTGATTGGCATTTTTAGCATCATATTCTCAATTACAATGAGTTTGATGACAAATGCTAGAAGAGTCGATATTTTTGCTGCTGCTGCCGCGTTAGTCCTTCTATATCTATTCAGTATACCTTTTCTAGACTGACTTAGCGATTAGGTTTTCCAGCGTTCAGGTAGTTTTTGTGTCAACGACTCAGGGAGCTTCCTAAAGGTCGTAAGCTGCGGGTGGAGTACATGTAGACAAGCCCATAGTATCATCACTCATGTGCCATGATTTTCTCTTCTTTTCTATCCGCTCTTTTGTGACCTACCCACCCTTAACCTTCTCCGCCAACAGCACAACACCTCCCCCGCCTTTCTTTTTAGTACCGTATAGTTGCAAGCTGGATTTCAAAGTGACATCCCGAAACTTTGTATCTTTTTAGCTTTTCAGAAAATCCATTACTGAAGTCCCGCGAACTTCCATCGGCCATTGTCCCTTTTTCCCTATACAACGTATCGAGCCGGGTGGCGAGGCATATGATAGGGCATTGCTAGTACGATTGAACGCCAAGATACCATGCCCTTCCCCTAAGCAAGTACCAAAGGAAGCTCGACCCCGTCGGTTCCATTGCCCTCCCGTCCTATCGCTTCTTGAGGCAAGCCAAATTGTCTCCAGATTCAACAATCTCATACCGACCTCAAGACAACGGATTAAGTCGTCCTGACAGACATTGCTGTTGTCAGGTTCTGGTTTTTCCGCACCGAATTATTCTAGATACTTGTTAGGTAGCAACAGCTCCAAATATGCCCAATCATATATTGTGCTGCTAACGTCTTTTAATCCAGACCGATGATCATGATGCAGACAGCCGCTGAATCCCAACCGATAACAACATACCAACTCCTCGATATATGGAAGACACAACTTATTTTCGAAGTGACAGCTGGCGGTAGATCCGTCCAAACTGTCGGTCTTGTTGATGGCGGTTCACGCCTTTGCGTAGTATCGCGCCGTATAGCTCGAATGTTAGAGCTTCAAATAATGCCGTTTGTGGATGGTCGCCCAGAACTCACGGGGTTTGACGGCCACTCGAAACACCAGCCTATTGGGTTTATTACGCCGAGTATTAATCAACTAGACTTAGGTCTCGCGGCTAAGAATTGTACACTTCTGGTTGTCCAGCACCCCACCATTGATCTGATTCTAGGCAGTCATTTCAATCTTGAGAATGACACTGAAGGGATAATAATCCAGAAGGTTCGTGGTAATATCATGCCCAGGTATTGGAGCAATGATATATCGTCACTCGACAGTGTCTTAGTTCTCATTGACTCACGTAATAAAAGTGGGTAGCCTTCATCTTTCAGCTTTGCAATATGGATCACTAACAATAAACTAGAGTGTCGAAACAGCGAACACGAAGAGAAAAGGAAACAGGTGCAGAGCTTGACGAGGTCGGTATGGTCAGACATTCAAGAGTTCAAAGAGAACCAAGAACGGCAGAGAAGTACGTGGTGTACTGCCTCGGGGTCGAACTCTCGAGGCAACTACTTAGTAATGTCTTCATCTACACGGGAGGTGTTAGCGTCCCAAGATACTACCACCACCTCATCCTGTCACGATAGCAGTACTACGTCAGCCGCTTCGTCGTCGTGGACTGTCTTGAAATCACAAGACTCTGCCAGTTCCCACAACTGGAGCGCATCGTCTACCTTAAGCATGCGTCCTAAGAAAGATTCTGGCAAATTGTGAGTAACCACGCTATCTTTGCCGAAGCGTCCTATGGCCCACAGAGTAGCCGAGATCCATTCATAAAGGTCGAGGAACAGCCCGTAGTAACGATGAGTGGCAGCTTGGAGTGTGAAGGCTTCAAATTGCTAGGTCTGTGTTTTAGGCGTTAACTTCCCAAGTACCGTGCAACATTATACCCATACCCATACACTGTCAAAAGGCGGAACCAAACAGCATGGAAACAACTTCGTTGTTCCGCAAGGAACTCTGGACTTACCATGAGGGTCTATGTCTATACATAGGTACTGAACGTGTCCTTTCTTCTAGATGTCTTATCTAGAATCCTGACACACTCATACACATACCCTCCCACATGGCGTAGTGATTTAACGCCTGGATGTGTGTTGGCCCGTGCCCACGTGCCGCAACACAAGTGGGTTCGAATCCCACTGTGGTTAACCAAATGGTCCAACTCGGGGTTTTCCTTGGGCACTGCTGTGCGCTGAAGGTGATTCCATCTCCCTTATAAGGCGTGTTGAACGGGTTTTCCCTGGTTGAAAGTCGGCATCCGTCGCTAACCAGGTAGATTAATGTTATAAGCAGGTAGATAGGAAGTGGAGGATCTCTTATGTCAGGCGAAACTCTAGCTCTGGTTCCTTTAGGGGAGGTACTCTAGACATTTAAAAAGCGCCATAGATGCGCAGCTGTAGCTACCTAGCTTATAGCAAACAATATGTCAGAGATACCCCTTGATGGTTGTCACACGTAAAGTGAATGATAGAAGCAGCAACGAAGCTGCTGTATGGTAGCCGTGTAGTAGTATAAATCTATTAACGCTTGACCTTCTATTCTCTTTCGAGGGGCGCTACGCGCCCCTTATATATATATTCTAGGGGGATCTATGCCTAATTCATACTAGTGTCACTTATAGCCTGACACAATAGACGTAAACGTTCTCATCATCATCATCATACACATTAGGCACCCATAGGCATATGCCATTATACCCATCTTATACTAAAACGTAACGCGTACGGATACCTTTTGTTTTGGTCTGTCTATTTTCCTCTACCTACCTGGGTAGGCAGTCTTCACAATAAAATCCACCCCTATTTAGGGGGTTGGGAGTGTTAATCTGTGTTAATACTATGATTATTTCTATTTGCTCCCTTGAATCTCTGATGGGCCGTATTATCCACCATGGCTACAGTTGATATTAGAGAATTTGTACCTGGTCCTTGCCAACTCCTTAGATAATGGTGGTCAAGAACAGGAACAGCTATGTAACCTAGGTTTAAGCGTACTAGTAGCAAATTAATCTAAGTTACTCTTTCTTTAAGGGAGAAATAGGCCGCGTAGAATATATATCGTAAGTATGTATTTACTAGTATTTTACCTTTGGTATCTTACCAGGGCTATTGCCATGGTACATGTACGAGACATTATGTTGAACAGCACTTTCAGCATATTCTTCAAGCGTGAAGGATCACTCGCAATGAAAATGGTGCCTTAACTTCGTTACCCGATCAACATATCTTCACAACAATTTCAGACCAATCCCATAACCGTTACCGCATTATATTCGTTGCTTACTTAAAACATGTCTTTAAGCTCAAACCTGTAGATTCCGATTCGCCATACTTCTGACGAATTCGGGCAAGTGCCTCTTGTTCCTCTCGCTCATATACCACCATCCGAACAGCCTCCTCAAACACGCGGTTCACGTTCTCGCCGGTTTTTGCTGAGCATTCCATGTACTTGATCCCCCGCACGATCATCGCCCCAGAGGAGTCCTACGTATTTCCGGTCAGTATATTTCCAGTCAAATATGGAGATCCGGGGTGAATAGACAGAGGGGTGGGCAGAGTTGTTCTTACCTGGGTGCTTGAAACTGGAATATTCAAGTCCGGATGGAAAGGGGCCCTCATGTTGCGGCCAGTGAATGTATCTTTCTTCAGGCCAAGCAAAATGAACGGAATATCGCCACAGTACTTGGAGATCTCGTCCATCCACTGCGAATATTTCCCTAGGGTTAGCTCATGTATAATACGGTTTATAGGTAGTTAGGGCCATAAAAGCGACGCACCTTCTTCTGGACAGTCTTAAAGCGCGCGATGTTCTCCATGCTGAAGCACAGGAATACGGCGTCCCACGCGAGGTAGGAAAGGAGTTGGAGCTGGTGAAGTGAGATATCGCCAGATGTGTCCCAGAGCTCAAGGTCCACATCCTGTCCGTCTACAGTGGCGACCTTGTTGAACAGCTCATAATGGGTTCTGATATGTGCCTGCCTGATGTGAGCAAGTAACTCTCCTTGCCAAGAACCCCTTTTGTGGATTTGAATAGGAGCAGCTTACTGGATTAAACGCATCGCGGTAGTAACGACTGGAGTTGGAATGCATTAGTACGCGTCGCAATACTAATACGATACTGGTGTCGGGAATTAGTGGGAAATTGTAGTGGCTTACAGTAACAAGTTCGACTTTCCACAGCCAGAATCTCCAACAAAGACGAATCTCATGCGAGGACGCTCAACGAGGGTGGCGGGTGATACAGGCAATGAAAGCGATCCGCGAACGGTAGAGCCTTCGAGGGTCTCTTGGGATTTCTCGGGGTTAATGACTTGGCGACATATATTGGAGGCTCGGCGAATAAGGCCATGACCATAAGAAGCGATGCTTGCACGTCTGTTGTTGGCATCCTTGTAGGTACTTAGGGAGGAAACCATTTTCGTTCGCTTAGTGTGGTAGCTATCGTCGTCCCGACTGTCGTCAATATCGGGAGTTTCCTGGTCGATGTCAGCCATGTGATTGCTAGAGCCTAGGTCTGATGTTTACTTACCAAGGCGCGTTTGGGGGTTTGAATGCGCGCAGGTCCTGGGAACTCCTCTCGTTTGGCGGGACCAGGAACGTTATCAATCCAGCGAAGGACAGCTGGATTAGTCTTCCACTTATCGGGGATGATAAAAGAAAAACTCTTAGATATGGGTAAGCGGAACTGCTGAGATTTGCTAGTAGTCTCCATAGTTACACCTTCTGGGAATGGTAGCTCAAAGGGATTCCTATTTATTATTTTCTGTGCTTAAGAAGGCATGTTTGGATAGAAATCTGCCTCGAGAAGATGAGATGCGAAACCCTCGAGATAAATAGAAGAGTAAACTGAGTAAGATAACAGGTACCTGTGGGAGTCAGATACCATGGAAACAAGATAAATGTGGGGTTAGGTATGCAAAAAGTTTGTCGACGTCGAGGTTGGTGACGTGCTTGAGAGGTAAGTTCTTAACACGGTGCATGAATAATTGTTATTGACGAGGTGGGTGCACTGTGTATGAGAAAGGTGAGGTTTACCACCTTTCCTTTTCATAGGGTCAAACATTCGAATCAGCGAAAGTGCATCCAATAATGCTAACAATCTATTCCCCCTAAAAGTCATTGCCCACCAATACCCGCTCAAAGATACTCAAAACCACCTAAAACCATTGGTTAACAATAGTGAATTATAAAATGTAGCGTGATCATCCTTAAAAATATGCTCACCATCCTTTATAGATTCTTTCCCTTGCAATATAATAATCCGATTTTATCCTCAGCCGCAAGGAGGTTGAAGAACATAGCACTTAGCTGTCGAAAATTCCTACCCATATCTCGCATGCCTCACATAGGCGGTTTTATCTCCCCCCAGGGATTAAAGTCCATTATATTCTTCATTAATTTATACAATTACAAATTGTTAATAGTTATACATATATCTTGAATATGAGCAATAAATCTCAGCTTAACTACCAGCTTAACTACCAGATTTGTAAAAACCTAAACAGCAGTTCGCTCATACATGCCTAAATAAAAGTGGTGACATATCCTTCGCAGTTTTTGGATTGAGCATGGTAAACAGTTTACTAGAAAAATCATGGTCCAATGTGAATAAATGGTAAAAATATGATATAATCCTGTTTCTATCGGAGGACTTCCGGATTATGAATTTGGTATACTTCCTCAGCGCTACGAAGCTTCGAGTAGTATTTTATATATTAATGGGATAGTCGATGACTTCTTATATATCACGAACCTTGCGTATATATCCACTACCCCCTTTCTTCTCATTGTATAAACCTTCGGGATAAGTATTAGTCTTGATACCTCTTGATTAATCTATGTACTTTTACTATCCCCTTGGCTGGCATAAGACAGCAACTCCATAACTTTCAGTATTAATACATAAGGCTTAACGTCATTTATTAACATAATAGGAAAAGGCCTTATAATTAGTCTCTAAAACCGCAACCTACAAATATTATTGGTCGATTTAGTACCGCACGAGCGTTTCTTTCTTTTCTAGCCAATCCGTATGTATTGATACTGAAATTTATGGAGTTGCTGTCTTATGCCAGCCAAGGGGATAGCTAAGATTATAGTCAATGACCTTCAGAATAGGTATGAGATATATTTACCTAGCGAGGTTTATAATACAACTTAAAATATAGTTTATTATTTAGTTCTGTCATGACAGAATAGCATTTAGATAAGATATGTACCACGTAGGTACCTAGGCACGTATATATCGTCAATCCCTTTGGAGATGATGTTCAGATAGAAATAAAATAAGATTCATAGTAATAAAACATACTCCTTCCTTTTCAATTTAATTAACTAGTTATTAAAAAATAACTACAAGTTTATGGGATTACGAGCGAATTAAATATCCGCCACTATGTTAATACGCCGTACGTTGAGTCAGTCTCGGTGTTTTAAAATCCGGGGTACGATGGGCAGGTTGACGTTGGTTTTATCTTCCGAGCCGCAGCCGATTGATCTTCAGTGCCATGTGGTGGAGAAATACGATATGCATAAACATATCCGTTAGAAACCCGTGTTCGAACTAGCTATCCCGGCGACTTTTTTTAATACACCGATAAGGGTAGCCGATTATTTAAGTCAAACTGGAGCGATGTGGGTCACTAGTACAAGCCGTTTGGACCATAGAAAGCGGGGAAGTAACACGACTAGCTGATGTTCATGATGCCGTTAACCTTACATAGTAGGTACTTAAGAGAGGTAGTGTGGAATCTAAGGTACCTATCTTAGAATAACCGCCCTGAAAATATTATTAATCCGGCGTATATACCTACCTAATGTATTTTTAATACGTCATTGTGACCTTGATTGCTAATCGGCTTTACTATCTTGTCTTAATATAAATAAACTTGTTCTTCCATCGCCTACTTTGGCATTAATCACACGTAGACTAGTAAACTCGGAGTTGGATGACAACAAGACTGAAACAAATTGCAACACATTTTTTTGCACAATATGTCTGATATCCATCTGTATACAGCTCAAACGCCTAATGGTGTTAAGATATCGATCCTGCTAGAGGAGCTAGGGTTACCTTACAAGGTGCGAACTCATCCTTACTCCTTTAAAAAGTCGAGCCGGTAGATATCTATGTCTAATAAGTAGATAGGTCACTAAGGTCGATATTAGCACCAATGTCCAGAAGGAGCCCTGGTTCCTAGAGATTAATCCAAATGGCCGTATTCCAGCACTCACGGATACTTTCACCGATGGCAAGCCTATCAGGTTATTTGAAAGTGGCTCTATCATGCAATATCTAACTGATAGATACGATACGGAACATAAGGTCTCTTATCCGAAGGGATCTAGGGAGTACTATGAAGTTAATAGCTGGGTAAGCTAGGCACACTTAAATACGCTCCACGCTCCAACTGCTCACCTAACTTAGCTCATGTGGCAAATGGGAGGTCTTGGCCCGATGCAAGGGTGAGTAGAAGTCGGTACTGGGAACATTGATAAGGGATACTAACATTGGAGTAGACAACTAAACCATTTCAACCGTACGTATTAGATTTCTGACCCCGAGTACCTGTTTATGTCCTAATATGAATAGGTTATGCCCCGGAGAAGATTGAATACGGCATCAACCGGTACAAGAACGAAACTCGCCGCCTCTATCGGACACTCGAGACACAGCTGAAATCGTCGACGTCCGGTTACTTGGTTGGTGACCGATGTACGAATGCGGACATCTCATGCTGGGGATGGGTCGCAGCAGCAAGTACGTATCACTATGATGAATTATGCAAGAAATGAACTAACACTTACACGTACAGAATGGGCTGGAATTGATATGGATGAGTTCCCGATATTGCATGAATGGGTGGAGCGGATGCTAAAGCGTCCGGGCGTCGAGAAGGGTCGCCATGTGCCGTCTCAGCATATCTACGAAAAACACCAGGCTATCTCCAACGAGGAGATAGAAAAACAGGCTGCTCCGTTGAGAGACTGGGTTCAGTCATCAATGAAGGAAGAAGCAAAGTAGCGGCTTTATCTTAAATCTCCTACAAGTTTAATGTATAAAGCGTATGTAGCCAAGAGGAATATGATTAAACTTTCTTGCTGGGTATTGTCATAATATTATATTGAAAGAATAGTAGATACTGTTAACTACCTACTTTTGAAAGGTATGAAGGCAGTTTTACTCGAGATTCCTAGGTTTTATATGATATCAGTGCATCTCGTAGAAATGTTGGTTTAAGGCATATGATCATAGTTATACGATGAAAGGGGTAGAGATGGCCATAGCTCATATGAGAAGGTTTGTGTTCAAGGGTGACTGGATTTCAGCTCTTAGTCCTTTGGTACGTACCTTTTTGATCCAATCACGAATATTGAATGTAGTGGCTCGAGCGTCACTGTTGCTCCACTTTGGTTTAGGTAAAAATATGTTTAGGTAAGCGTGGCGCCTGGAAAAAGTCGCCTCAAAATAATTCCACTCAACAACGAATCCTTGAAGGTAACCTAGTTTCTTCAACTCATTTCTCTCAGACATATTTTTTTCTCAACGTGCAAATTTACCAATATGTCGTGGAGAAATCAAGGGATTACGGGATCCAACAATATCCCTCTCGGTAAGAGCCGACGATTTGGAGGCGAATTAGACGATGCGATCGAGCAACGCGAAAATGGAAGCGATACCTTCAGCCTTTCCAATGGAGACCGCGACTTGAAGCGCGGTCGTAGCCCCGAACCAAGTAAGCCATCCACGATATACTATATAGTATTCATTACAGATCAACAACTAATAACAAATCTTTTAGGAACCGATGCCGATGGCCCTCGACGCCGAAAGAAGAGAAATCGATGGGGTGATGCGTCTGAGAACAAAGCTGCTGGGCTTATGGGTCTTCCCACAGCTATCGTGGCCAACATGACTAGCGAGCAACTGGAAGCCTACACTCTACACCTTCGAATCGAAGAGATTAGCCAGAAGCTGCGCATTAACGATGTCGTCCCTGCTGATGGCGACAGGTACGTTTAGCCTTATGTCCTCTAGCATTTCATCACCGGCGCAATTCTAACTAACATTTCACGTAGATCCCCATCTCCCCCGCCTCAATACGACAACCATGGTCGCCGTGTTAACACTAGAGAATACCGCTACCGAAAACGTCTCGAAGATGAGAGACACAAGCTTGTTGAGAAGGCTATGAAGACTATTCCTAACTACCACCCACCCCAGGACTACCGGCGCCCTACTAAGACCCAAGAGAAGGTCTACGTGCCCGTCAATGACTATCCAGAGATTAACTTCAGTGAGATTACTAACCCTCTAACCTTTCTAACCATGTTCTTGCCCCTTCTTGTTCAGGATATCGCCTGGAATATCGTTATATCTCGATGGATGACTTGCCACATATTGGCCTCATCCAGCTCGTACTCTTGTTCTAACCGTCTTGCTACAAATACTAACACTTAGGTCTTCTTACTAAAGTTGGTTTACTTATCGGTCCTCGTGGCAACACATTGAAGAAGATGGAATCAGAATCAGGAGCCAAAATTGCCATCCGCGGAAAAGGCTCCGTCAAAGAAGGCAAAGGCCGATCTGATGCTGCCCACGCTAGCAACCAGGAGGAAGATCTCCATTGTTTGATCATGGCGGACACAGAGGAAAAAGTCAACAAGGCCAAAAAGCTAATCCACAATGTCATCGAAACTGTACGTTCCCTATGGCCTTTATATTTTAAATACCTATATGCTAACATTATATAAGGCTGCGTCAATTCCTGAGGGACAAAACGAACTCAAGAGAAACCAGCTTCGAGAACTGGCCACATTGAACGGTACTCTACGTGATGATGAAAATCAGGCCTGTCAAAACTGTGGTCAAATTGGCCACCGAAAGTACGATTGTCCCGAGAAGCAGAACTTCACGGCCAACATCATTTGCCGCGTCTGCGGAAACGCCGGTCACATGGCTCGAGATTGTCCTGATAGACAGAAAGGTGCCAGCTGGCGTAACGACGGTCCTCCCCGCGCTGCTGCTGGTCGCATCGGCAGTGGAGATGCCGTCGATCGCGAATATGAGGTATGTGTTTATCGCAAACAAATTGCCGGATATTATCTAACTGGATCTTTAGCAATTCCTCGAAGAACTTGGAGGTGGCTCCAGCGGAACTCCAGCTCGTATCGAAGCGGCACCTGGCTCCTACAACAACAACAATGGCGGGAGTGGTGACGCAAAGCCTTGGCAACGAGGTCCGACAGGCGCTGCTGCTCCATGGCGTTCTCGCAACAACGATCAGAACAACGAAAGTGGAGGCGGTGGTTCTGCTCCCTGGCGCGATCGCCATCGTGGCAATGACAGCCATGGGGGTGGGGGTGATTATTATGGTGGCCAAGGACAGAATTATAACAGTGGTTCAGCCCCTGGAGCAGCCGCACCTTGGCATCAAGCCTCAAGTGGGCAGCCTCAATACCCCAGCTATCCCGGCTATTCAGGGTATGGTGCAGCTCCTGGTATGGGACCTCCTCCTGGTCTTGCTCCTCCGGGAGGTTCTCTCGGTGCTCCGCCTGGATTACCACCAGGAAACATTAATGCTCTAATCCAGCAATACTCAAACGGAGCGGCACCTCCCCCTCCACCACCTAGTGGTGATGCTCCTCCGCCACCTCCTGGTGATCAGCCGCCGCCACCTCCTCCTGGTGCTTGAGCGTGGGAAGCATACAGAACAACTTGACGTACCGATACTAACTTGCTTGACCTTGGTACACCGTATCCAGTTCAATTTGCCTTGCACTGCTAACGATTGTGTTGTTACGCGTTGTTTTCTGATTTTAGTACTAACCGTTCCGCACGCATAATTTCAGACCAGTGCCTTTCCACATCCCATGCAGATTTAAGGAATATAAGCTCGCGATTCTAGTTATCGTGGGTAGGGTGGTTGCGCACATGTATTATAGGACTAATCCGTAGACAGCAATAAGGATTTTTTTTTTAATGTTTGCCATGTGTACCTGCTTTGATCAAAGTGACGATTAATATGTCCCTAGCATTAGTAGATGCTGCGTTTATGCCGCCTATGTATTAGCGTTGTCTATCGAATCTCGCGTCCTTCGATAGACAACGCTACCTAATATGTACCTACATACATAGTACAGGTATAGTTTCACTTATGCAGAACACAGACAGGGATCTCGTGTGTCGTACAGCTTACATGTACTTACTATGTACATGTATTTAGAGGTACCCATTTTTTCTCGATTCTATCCCGGGAGCTTGGGCCAACTCCCCTCTCTAATTGCTCTGACAATTGCTCTAATGTCGTAACCTGCAACTTCTACCAACCTTCTCTCCAACTCCACAACGACCTTTTACTTTCAGATCATGCATTTAAGTCAACAACAGTTAAGGCAATTGCGAAATAAGAATGGAGTAATTTATAAAACGTCGACAACAACTCGATGAACAATCAGATCCCTCCAGACATAAACATCAATATATCTTCGCATGCATCAACCTAATTAATACATTCGTCATCCTCTGTACTGTGCCTCAGTATATGTGCCCTACTGTTCACTGCTCTCGTGTCTGCGTCTCTTGGGATGTTTATTATCCCCACCTAGAGCTTGTCTGACTCTCTTCACTGGTCCTTGATTGTTTATTTTTTCTGCAGCCTTATAATTTTGGAGGTATTTCATCCTGTAGGTGAACTAGCAGAGTCTTCCAACTCAGCCAATAGCCAATCATGGCTGTATCGAACCCGGTCGCTTTCAAGCCATTCGCTGTAACATTCTGGACCACGATCGCTTATGTCGCTCTACTCATTCCGTTACTCATCGTCCACGAAACCGTCCCGCCTCCTCCAAGCAATCCGACACTCTACTCCGGTCTTAACCTCACTAAATCTTGGCTTGACTTATCCGTCTTGTCTCGCGACTACCATCCGTTCAACAGCCAGAAAAATGATGAGATTCACGATTGGCTCTTACTAGAATTAAATGATATCAAAGAGCGCAATGGGGCGAATGATTCGAGCATGGTCGTATTCGCAGACAACATTTCAAATATCACTACAGCCAATATCGTATTTGGAGCATCAAGTTCTACCGGTACCTACTTCGAAGGTACAAATGTTATAGTATACATTCGAGGCAAGGATGATCCGCAAGGTCTGTGGTGGGAGGATGACTCCGTAACGTCAGACAAAGTTATAGGAAAGGGAGGCGTTCTAATGAATGCCCACTACGACTCGTACGTCTTGTCAGATACTGCGTAGTGTTGAGCTAACATTAGAATAGCGTTTCCTCTGGATATGGTGCTACAGATGACGGAATGGGTTGCGTTACTTTAATAGCACTAGTCGATTACTTTTCACGACCGGAAAACCGACCCCAGAGAGGTATCGTTGCCCTATTCAACAACAACGAGGAGGATGGACTATGGGGCGCTCAAGCTTTCATCAATAGCCCTCTCTTGCCTTTCTGCCACACATTCTTAAATCTCGAGGGCGCCGGTGCTGGTGGTCGGGCTAATCTGTTTCGCACAACTGACGCTGAAGTAACTAATGCTTACAGGGGTACCAAAAACCCATTCGGGACTGTAATCTCATCTGATGCATTCGGACTTGGGGCTATAAAAAGCAACACCGACTATATAGTCTTTGACGGGGTTTTTGGGTTAAGGGGATTAGACATGGCTTTCTACCGACCTCGTGCCAGGTATCATACTAACCAAGATGACGCCAAGCATGCATCAAGAGCCAGTCTCTGGCACATGCTCAGCAGCTCTCTGCACACGATGCAAAGCCTCTCTGGAGATACTGGTAACACGTTCATCGGAGACCGCCCTGACGGCGATCGAAAGAAAGCGTGGAATGGTAGAGGAAACGATGGCGTCTGGTTCGATATATTCGGACAGACGTTTGCTGTTTTTGAGCTGCGGACTTTGTTTGCGTGGTCTCTGACCTTGCTAATAGCCACCCCCCTAATACTCCTTGGTTTAACGTACATATTAGTGCGTAACGATAAGTACTATTTTTTCTCGGCAAGGCGATCTGCTTATGAAGGATCTGACCTTGATCCGGTTCTGCTAGGTGGTCGAAAAGGTCTATTCAGGTTTCCTTTTGCTTTGGGTGTTGCTGGGGCGTTGGTTGTCGGTTCCGCATACTTAATCACAAAGATCAACCCGATGATCATATACAGCAGCGAATATACTGTGTAGGTCTTGAACGATTATTATTTTAGGAGGATGCTGACATGACTATAGTTGGGCGATGATGGTATCGCTTTTCTATTTCGCCTTTTGGACCATTATGGCAGGGGCGAATTTCGCTCGACCCAGCGCCCTTCACCGGGGATACTCCATCTTCTGGCTATTCCTCATCGCATGGGGTATTTCAGTCGCGAATACCGTTTTTGAAGATCGCTTTAGAATCGCAGCTGGATACGTATTCGTCTTCTTCCATTCTGCTGTGTTTCTTTCCTCTTTTGTCGCGCTTTGCGAGCTGTTTGCCCTGCCCACGAAAGCGTCGTTTGCGCAGCGAGTACACGACGAACACGAAATCAGAGACCATCTTATTAATGTCCCACATGCCGACGCTTTAATCTCTCCAAGTCGAGATGAGCTCAATTCTAACGACAACGAGGATGAAGAAGTTGAATCTCAATCCCCGGCAACAGAGACGACCCCTCTTGTTGGTGGTACCCCCGCGGGCACTCGACGGACGACGTTTGCTACTACATACCGTCGTTCAATATCGGCTATCATAAATAAAGCGAGATCAAGCGAGAGAGACGAAAACCAACCGTACGAGTATGAGCAACAATGGTCGGCAAATCTCCCAAGTTGGCTTTGGGCCCTTCAATTCCTCATCCTAGGGCCGTTTTTGATCATTCTTATCGGCCAACATGGCCTGACACTAGTGGCCTCTGTTTCCCAAACGGGCGCTGATGGATCAAGCCTCTTAGTCCCATACCTTATGACGGCATTCTTCAGCATATTTCTATTATTACCCATTACTCCATTCACACACCGGGTTACTCACCACGTACCGATGGTACTCCTCGGGGTATTCATTGGCACGCTAGTTTACAACCTAGCAGCCCCCCCTTTCTCTGAAAATAACAGATACAAAATTTATTTCCAGCAGACTGTCGACCTTGATACTGGTGTGACCAAGGTCCATTATGCTGGCCTGCAAGAATACGTCCAACAGACGATCGCCGAACTACCGTCTGCCGCTGGCAAAGAAGTTGAGTGTACTTCGAAAGGGAGTCTGCGTAATGGTTTAGTTACCTGCTCTTATGACGGTTCGGATGTCCCGCCTAACGTGATTAAGGCATTGCCCAGTGGAATTCCCCCACAAAAAGGCTTTAGCAGCTGGTTGGATTTCAATATCACCCGTGCAAAGGATGAGACCAAGGCCATTTTTGAAATCGATGCAAGAGACAGTAGGTCGTGCGCTATTGCGTTTGACAAGCCTATTTCCTCATTTACAGTCAATGGCAACCAACCCCACGAGCGTTTTGGTGGTATACCGGAAGCGGGTCTCACTAAGATCAAACTCTATCGCCGAGATTGGAGTACACCATGGAAGGTTGATGTTCAATGGGAAGCTGGTTCGGCTACAAGCACTGGAATCGACGGTAGTATTCTATGCAGTTGGGATGATGTGAACACTCCCGGTACGATTCCTGCCTACGATGAGGGACTCAAGTATTCCCCTACATGGGTGGCTCTCACCAAATTAACATCAGGTTTATGCGAAGGGAGGAAAGCATTCAAAGCATGAATATGGATGTATAGTTACTTGGCACTGGTAGTTCTGTGTGTACGCAATGGGTCTCGCCACCAACAACATAGGAACAGCCGATCTGATAACTTACACCGGTTTACTTTACATAACACACCTTAGCAATGTCGAATGTTTTAATGTTGCAGATTACGAAGTCGACGAGGGACAACAAGCCGGTCTGTATTAATGGAGTATGGACACATTGCATGGTTGGCGTTTGCTTCTATATTGATAAGGTTGCAGCTGGGTAATGTCACATAACCTACCTTTTTCCCACGATAACAAGGGCCTCGATGAAGCCATTGTCTCACGAGTCGTCCCTTATCTCCCCGATGCAATTATGCTCAGTTAGTAATACGGTAATAAATCACATCCATCTCTGTTCTCGAACCTCGATGTCTCAAGGGTAGTTGGTTCGGTTAAGCTGCCTTATACTACCTACAACTCTATTCCTCAACTTCTAGAATGATCGACAGGACAATGGCTCTTATTAGTCGAATCTGGACCGCCCTTTTTGGGTGGCTTCCGATTTCAATGCTCTCCCATACGTTTCCCAGCGTCACAGCCATGGCCCAATAACGAGTTGGTGGGTTGCTGATCATGTTTGCGGCGTAACATTTCCATATAAAGCCACCAACCCAGATGCCCAGAATGTGCCGGAGTATTTCCCCACGTTCCAATCAGACGCGTGAACCTAGTTCAATAATCTTTATCCCATATTACCCCAGGTTGCATTTTGCCTATTTACAAGGGAACGTTGATGTGTAGTTGACGTGATACTTGCAGTTTACAGGTTTAGGGATTCGAGACAAGAAAATTCCGTTCGGAAGATGCAAAGATTTTATTATATTCGTCATTCCAGTTAGTTATGGAGAGGGTTGTTCCCGTAGTGGCCGTAGTGTAATGGTCTGACTTCCTCGATGAAGAATGATCGACAGGTTTTAGGACGTTATGTCATGCAGCCTTCCCCAAGCCTTTCCCCAAGTCAAATTAAATCAATCGAGATAAATGAATCGAGAAGGTGTCACGGAGTCTATGTAGGTGGAAGTAGGGGAAGATGTCTGCAACTTTCCTTATTAGTTAGTACCCGTTTGTGTGCCTTACATTGATTGCCCTCGCCCAGGGCCGAAAAAGTACCCTTTTTTTATCTTCGCTTCCAAGTAACAGGCACTACCTCGCAGTGCCGATCTTCTCACCCCTGTTCCTAGGGACTTTGACATCAGACTGTCATCTCTGTCATACCATAAGTCTTAATTTTAGAATCATACAAGCTCACTTGGCTTAATATCTATCACTAACTCCCGCATCTTCGCTCTACCTATTCACTCTCCTAGCGTCGAACCGTATCTACTTATAATACAACCTAGAGACTTTCTAAGCTTCCACTTTCCTAGAAATTCCTAAGCATTCAACAATTTCTCATAATTCATACCTTAGTAAATCCAAATTTGTCGAGATGGGAAGCCTCACTTTGCGAACCGTGCTGTCGATCGTGGCAGTCGCCGCGGCGGGACTCGCGTTCCCGGCCACTCAGGCCCCAGCTCCTACTCCCGCGGCAGCTCCCTGCACAACAGGCGCTCCCGTCGTAACGGCCGGATACACTATCAACTACGCCCCAGCCGTGCCGACGGTGGCGTTCCAGGATGGATACCAGCCCGAGGAGGCGTGGTCCAAGAGCCACGTCATCGGCACTTATGTGAGTACACCAGTCTTATATGTTACTATGTATAATATGAAATAAAAAGGGGAGGAGGAGGGGGATCTAAGAGAACACGGCTAACGATATTATGTGAACAGACCTTTGGTGTCCCGGAGCCGGTAGAGTCCGGCTTCGCTTATGCCCAGTTCAAGTGCCAGTACTACTGCAATAACGCCGGGGTTTCCGGCGCCGGTAGCTTCTTTGTCAATTATGCTGGCGAGGGGAATAATATTGGCTCGTATTGTACTTGTTTCGACGAGTTGTAAGTTTTGATATATCTATCTCTAGCATGCGCATTGGTATACCGGGATGTATGGGCTGACATGATCACGTATAGGCTGCAACCTGAAGCCTTCGTTGCTAACGAGGAGACTATGGTTGGTGGTTGGAACCATATTTGTGCCGAGTAAGGCAATTTCTTGGAGTAGGAGAGGCGTTGTTACTTTGGGGGTATTAGGCACCTGATGCAAGCAGGGTAGATGTAGAGTAGCAGGCGACAAAGGATTAATTATGATGGAAGTTATGGTGTCTTGTCTGTAAAAGTTGAGGCTATCGTAATTGGTTCTTGCTAAAGACAAAAAACAAAATATTGCACCTACTATGTTTAAGTAACTTGCGCAAAGTGTGAGGAGTGATCTTGGCGAATGAAAAAGGTTGGTTTTGGAATTGTGTATACTTGTTTGCTGTTTTGGTATATAAACTTACTTCTTAAATTTGTCTTTCGGTTTCGGTCATATTGCTTATGAGTTGGGACATTTTGATACAAAGGGACAGTCGCTATGACCCCTATTCATACTTGATGCACCATAATAATTGAGAGTACATCAATCATATGGATTCTTAAAGTCAATCAATACGGAAGTCCAAATAGAATTGCCACAACTATTCACTGTTTAGAACTCAAATGTAGCAAACACCATACAATAATGAACGTACACATTCAGTCGATGCGAATGCTAACCTAGTATATCTTTCCCGCCATTTTCCATGTCTATCATTGGAAGCTTCAGTCAAATGAGCGGTCCGTCCCCGTGTCCTTAGGTTATTATCAAATAGACAAATATCAGTTCCCAAGGCTCAACCAATGTATCAATGCGTAACCCCTAATCCCTCCGCAATAAACATGAAGCAAGCTTCTCTCTTTACCAAGCTACAGTGCTCCTATCTCGTCCAATCTACTTTTCCTTATTCTCATTCACCTTCTGATCGACCTTTTCGTCCGTCTTCTTTTCATCCTTATCCTCACCCTCCTTCTCCTTCTCCTTCTCCTTCCCCTCCTCCTCCTTGCTCTTATCCTCATCATCATCCAACATCCCCACATACCCCCCCCCACGCAGCGCATACTCCTCCCCCTCCGGCTGTGCCGGTTGCGGGATCACGGACGGTCTGGCTACGTCTCGTCTCGGGCTCCAGCCGAAGAACAGCGAGGATCTGCTGGGAGTGTCTGGGATTATGCTCCGCGGATAACTGCTGCTGCTTCTGCTGCTGCTGCTGCCTGAGGATCCGGTTGCGAGGGCTGTCTTCGTGGGCCGGGTTGTTGCGGTTGGCGTGGGGCTGGCGAGGTTCGGACTGCCGGAGGGGGGCGAGCCCGAGGATGTCCGCGGGGGACGGGGGGTCTGCGCTTGGGGGGTCGATGAGTCTTTGGAGGGCTTCTCTGGCGTGTTGTCCGTGGTGGGAACAGTTTTTGGGCGCGGAGATGGGGTGTTGGATTTCGTGGAAGTCCCTGGGCCGTGGGTTGTGTATAAGTGCGAGAAGAGGCCGGAGCCAGAGGATGTGGGAGGGGTTGGTTTGTTAGGGTCTGACATCGTGGTTTTATGGAGTAAGTGTGTGATGTCTAGTAAATGGTCTTTGCAATGTTGTTACGTTACTCAAGGGGGTGATTTGTTGTAAGTTGGAAAGCCAAGATAGATGACATGAGGTCGGTAGGGCTAACATATATATTTCTAGATGGCATAGAAGCTACATATTCTAATGGGTTCTATCCATTTCACTATTTGCGTCTTTTCTTTAAGGGTGTCGTGAAACCTACTGATTGATCTCCTTTGCTCATGTTTGTTGAGTGTTCACGTTGCTTTCTGCATGTCTAGGCAATCTCAGGTTCACCTGCAGCATAATCAAAGCTCTAAATGAGATCTGCAGGTATCTTAGACAATCAGCATATCAAAGACTTCTAAGGACACACACTTAGACTCCTACAAGTTGGTTTGCCTATCTAACTTTACATCTTGACATTTTTGTTGCTTTCGTGAAGTTTAACCAGATTGTGCATCCTTGATTCAGTACAGAAAATCTGCGATGGATTCTAGATGATTCTTGTCACTACAATTGCCCATTTGCTACAAAGCTTTCTTACAATAGAGTTTGTATTTTATTAAGACATGGGTTGTGTTCACTATCTGGCTACCTTCAAGTTCCAAGTAAAAATACCTATACATTAATATCACCAATGAGCCTCTATGAATAGTGGCCATTATGTCGATAGTTTGAGCATGCTCTAAAATAACTGCATAGTCTCTATTTATGGACATGGAATTGAAGTCCAGCAAAACTGTATTAACTATCCATTTATTCGATATAACTTCGAGTTAACTGCCAGTATACATCATTTGGTATGCTTAGCAGGATCCAGTCTCTCAAAGACTCTGAACAATTCGAATAGCCTTTTCAATACATCAAAAACTATTATATTGGTCAACTTTACGTTCTACCCATCTAGTTTTTAACCAGATCAACATGGTTTCCAGTGCAATAGACCCCCTTGTAGTCTCCTATTGGTTGTCGTATTCTAGTATCAATGATAACTAGGAACTTATAATACACAATATCCTTCTAGCATAGCCCTGTGAATAGATATTATCAACACCGATGATCTTAGTGCTAATAGCGGTACCATAGTTCAACCAAATATAAGTTTTGATTGGATATGAAGTCCGCGGGATGGGGTCGTGCTTCTATCGGGTCTTGTATTACGAGCCCGGTCGTTATTCTCGCCAATAGGCTGGTGCGCCGGGTCCTTGTCATAAGCTTACCGCCACGCCACACCGCCGAGTATGTACATATATCCAGCCCTATGAAGGGTTCACGGCGCCACACTCGTGGTTCCTACTGTGTGGTTCGCCCCGGCTAGGAGCACACGCTCTGTTGATCGCGACGCCTGTGAAATTGCGCTGGTAGGTGTTGAGTAAAATGGATAAAGGAACTGTCGATCAATTAAGGGGTTGTTGCTATAAAGCAAAGGCGAAGAGTCCTGATTTCTTGGTCTCAATGTCATCAGCAAGAACATCTCTGTTGCAATCCCAATCAGCCTCTTAAGACTTTCCAGCCATATCTTCAATTTAAACACCGAACCAAATCCTTCTATCATAATGAAGTTCTCCATTGCATTCGGTTTCATGGCTGCTGGCCTCGTTGCCGCTGTCCCATCGGCCAACCAGGTATGACTAGAAAAACATGTCCCTTAGGTATAGAGCATCAAGACTAATACTTAACCAAAGCTTCGATCTGTCAGCGACGTGCTCCCCAACCTAAAGCGCGACGTCTCAGGCGCCGGCTTCGTGCACGTCGGCTCTGACAATGTCGTGCGCGCCTTCGACAAGAACTTCAACGTGGTGGACTACGCGAGGCTCGACGACAAGGGCTCACTCGGAAAGGACCCCAGCGCAGATGTTCTCGCCGAGGCCAAGCTCGCCAAATCCAAGGCTATCGAGCAGACCTCCAAGCCGCGCCAGCCAAGCCCCCTCGATGCGCGCCAGGAGAAGAGCTGCCCTAGCCAGTCTTGCCCGGATGACACCTACTGCAAGGACTTGTCTATCTACGGATACGACTGCTCGACTTGCCTGAGTGTTACGCACACCGTTGGTAACTGCCAGAAATGAGTCACGAGGAGTCGTGACGATTGGATAGCTTAGACGTGGTGGTTTGAACGGGGTGTGCTGTGTTGTATTGTGTTGTGTTGTATTGTATTGTGGGGGAGCGGAGGATGAGTCGTGTTTGTGGTGGCATTAAGGGGAGGGGTCAAAGAAAGAGTTGTAATATTTTCATTCACTGCCGCTAATTAGCGGAATCTATTGAATATATATCGACCATGACTTTGCCTATTTACTAAGATCCTGGGACTTGTCATGTTTCTCGAAATCTGTCTGTATATCTGCGTCCATACCTGTTCCGTCTTGACCGGTATAACCTTTCCAATCTATCCAGTGCTTGTGACGCCGTAAGTGACAGGGATTGCGCCTGTGCCTGTGATATTGACCCTCCGGATGATTGGCGCTGTTCCTCTACATATGCTGCTGCAGAGTGTCGTCCCTTTACAGCTAATCGTCGAAATCTCGGAAATATCTGTACCGGGGCCTCTCTCTGTTGGACGAGGTTGACAAACCATTGTGGTGCAGTTTCGTTCCGGAATAATTCATGTCCGTAATTTCTAAATATGTCATTGATGGACGTTGGAATCCAAGCTGGCCTAATACCTTCCCAGTGGTTACCAGAGTTGTAAATCCAAACAATTCGAGTTCCGGGTTGAGTTGCCTGTATCGAAAAAGGCCTTTCGCCTTCGCTGTAAAAACCAGCTACTAAGGGCGGAACCCCTCGTCGAGGGCGACTCGCTCCGCTTTCCACATATGGCTGAGATGATGGGCTACTGTGAAGGCGGCTCCATTCGCTTATAACATGTGATAATATCTCGGCTTGGTACGGACCTGGCATGTCTCGGTCTTCTGGGGTGACCTCGAATGAGACATTATATGTGCCTATGCTTACGTTCTGCCGATATATGTCTAATAGATCTTCGATGGTCGGAACCCGGGCCTCAGGATAGAGGATCTCTTGGCAACATAGACTATCAACTAATGATTGTACGCCGCAGAGGCCTCTGTCCACGTAGTTTCTTATCACGGCGTATCCCGAACTAAACCGATATAAAACTAGAATGGAAATTAGCAATTACTTCGTTAGGTAAAAGATTAAAGGGCTCGTCTATCGTCAATTTGCAGATGCAGAAAAGCTGGGAGGAAAATGGGGAATGAGTTACTTACAATCAGCCAACGGAGGCAATTCACGGTCATCTTCCTCTTGTTGGTCCTGTTCTTCTGCGCTTCTTATCGGTCCCGTTTGAGTTCCATAGTCTTGTACTTCTTGCACCACCTCCTCCGGTACATCTTCTGGGGTCACCATTCCTTGATTTTGTCTCGACGATGCCTCCGAAGGCGCCACAGGCAGATTCGATGGTGCTGGATCTTCTGTTGGTCTTAGCTCTGGCTCTGGCTCTGGCTCTGGTACTGGCGGTTCTGTTCTCCGCTTGACTGGTGGTCGCTGTTCTGAACTTTCTTCTGCTGTTCGCTTCATCACTGTGTTTACCCATTGTGGCATTGGTGGCGTAGGTCGTCTTCTACGCGGCCTCTCCATTGCGCTCAGGAATAACCTGGGTCTCACTGGAGTCAATCTGCCAGTCATGATTTTCAAAAGAGAGATTTTGCTTGGTGAGAATTATATGTATAGAGTCGAATTAAAGGATAAAATAAGTCTCGGGAGTCATAAAAATAATGCCGTTTGGTGCGGGTAGTCTACCTCCTAATATACAAAATCTATCATGGGGATTTCGGGGCTGTGGCGCTCTAATATTCGACACCGACTGTTAGAATAAAGAAAGTGTTTAATGCTTATATTCGAACACTTAGCTTGTATCCTTAACGAGGTATTTCTAAATCAAGAATCTTCTACAGACATTGTTCTGTCCCTATGCCTAATGTTTATACCTTAGGATATTGTGTTAAATGCGAGTAAGGATTTCTTGTTCGGGATGTATGCCTTATTACATTATGCAAGTTTTTCCTGCTTTATAAAACGTAGTAAGAAATAGAAGAAAAAAGAAATGATAAAAGAAGTAAAATCTTATTAGGGTATAAATGACTTAGGGTTTGATAAAATGGAAAAAGTTCGAGGTTACTAGAGATTGTGATAACTTCGTACATTAGCAGGGTTAAACTTAGAAGTAGATTTGTTAGGAATGGGTATATAAGATGCGTGTAACGTTTTGGTAAGAGGGTATATAAACGGGCGAAAGGTTAACAGTTATTTATAGTTTAATTTATCCTAATATTTACCAAAGATATAATATTTGATAAATACCTGCTATAGTGCGGTGTAAACCTTAGGCTTTCGTATTACCCGGGGGGTAACCTCGAGTAATAGTATTGTTTGGGTATTTGAATAATATCCAAACTGCTAATCGAGTATTCTACGTTTGCGAAGGATTATTATGTGTTGATGTGTTTTTTTTTCTATGAGGTAGCCCTATAATATTGCTACAGTTGGACGAAAAGAATTCCTTTACCTTAATATTTTTTTCATTCTCGAACTAATACCGTCATAGTTGCGCTAATTAGGTGAACGTATCCCTTCAGATTCTAGGTTCTTAGATAAAAAACCAATGCTTGCTACAAAAGCGATCGTGCTTATACGCAACTCTCCTGTGAATTTGTAGTGCTCGATTCGTAATCATCGCTGAAGTCCTCAAAAAATTGATCTTCATGTAGCTCCTCTCGCCGCAAATAACACTTGAAGCAAAGATTATAACCTAAGCATTCTAGACATCTAAAATATACTCCTCGTATCGACTATATGCACGAAGTTAGTATAAGTATAACTGGCTGCCCCATTTAGGCCAACCAGGCAGATTCTTGAAGAAAAGTAATAGGTCATCTCAAGAAGAATCGATAAAACTCACATAGAGACACGAATCGCAGTAAAGATCTTGATGTTCGCGTGCTGTTTTGGACCTGTGGAATTTCTTATCCGACTCCAAAAATGGGCTGGAATTTGTTTCCTGGTCATGTAGTGTGTTTACTTCTCCGTGATGTATATTCTGTGGGACTTCTTCATCGGGAGGGCCACTTATGTTCTCATGTCGGAGAGAAAGGGGAGAAAGGAGATCCCGGATAGTCTGAGAAGCTCCGTGATACCTAGCTAGCTTCAATGGTGACCATTCTCTATCCCAACCTCGGCCGCGGGCCCTAATGTCAGCACCACAGGTTTTTACAAGGAACTGGATTATTTCCTCGTTTTCGGCACCATTTTGGCCCCCAAAATAGTTATCACTCGGTTTCTGGTGGCATCTGGCAGCCCACATCAGTGGTGTCCAGTCATCCATGTCTCTTACATCAATATCACCCTTACAAATTTCGAAGACTCTTTTAACAACATCAAGGCGGCCACTGCCAACAGCATAATGCAACGCATTTCTCCCTAAATGATCTTTACGCTGGAAAAGCTGGGGTGAACTCTGTAATTTCTCAACATGAGTAATTGTGCGCAATGATGCCAAATGAGCAGGATTTCTGCCATATCTGTCCTCCACATCAGTATCCGCACCGCTATTAAGCAGCAACTGAACAATTTCCGGTGGGCACACCAAGAACGCGAAGTTGATAGTGTAGCCATATCGACCACCTTTTCTGTTCACGTCGGCTTTGGCATCTAGTAGCCTATTGACGATGTTCTTTTGGAGGTCGTGGTCGTCCCAATGTGAAAAAGCTGACTGGAGTGGCGTTCCTACAAAACCATCTGCCATCAAGTCTACGTCCGCTCCATGTTTAATTAGAACGTCGATAAGATCTAGTGAGTTCTCTTTACATGCTAGATGGATCGGACCGCCAATCTCTCCGGCAGAGAAATTGATACTTACACCCTTTTTGATTAGAAACTGGGCTACGTCGAAGTTTTGCATCTGGATTGCATGAAATATAGGAGTGAGGTCTTCATCATTAGGGATTTCGGGGTCAGCACCAGCATTGAGCAATAAGCGGACTGAGAGTACTGGTGTTGTCTTGACTAAACAATTCAGAGCCGTGTCTCCTTGGCGGTCCTGGAAGTCTAGCTCTGGGGAAAATTCAAGAAGTGTTCGCAAACAAGCATCGTTGCTTTCTATTTTGGATGAATATAGAGCATAGTGAAGTGGGGTGTTGTCGTTGGTTGTACGCGCATCGACATTTGCGCCGGCTTCGAGAAGCATTCGGACAATTTCAGCAAAGCCTTGGTTGACCGCTTGTATCAGTGGATGATCGACCCAACTAAACTTTCCCATCTCCTGGTTGGGGTTGGCCCCATGTTTTAGGAGGAGTTCCACCATTTCAGAAGAATGGCGACAGCACGCCACCTGCAGAGCCGTTCCATTACGCGTCACCATGTTGATTTCGGGTTTAGAGCTCTTATTAAGTAAAAGGGATATCACTTCGACAGAGTCACAAGCCTGCAAGATAGGTACCCAATCTTCGGCACGGACCCGGTCCGCACCGGCATCAATAAGCCGTTGCACAACTTTGAAATGCCCAGCTTTTGCTGCTTCGAATAAGTTGGAATGATCCTCGATACATTCTTTGGCTCCCCATTGAAGGATATAGTCCACTAAGCTCAAAAAATTCCTTCCGGCAGCAATATTCAATACGACGATTGCGTGATGGGCAAGATTATTTTCGCGAATTTTCTCCTCTTCACAATCGGCTGTTCCGGTTTCTGATAAGTGCGTCATAAGCAAGTCCATTAATTTATCGTCATCATGAGTAGCCGCATCCCTAAATAAGCGACCAGCTTCTTCACGATCGATCACTATGCTGGATTTAAGCAAAAGCCGGCATATATCAGTGTAGCCACCTTCGACAGCATGAACAAGCAACTGCAGAGAGATGTCACTATGAGTTGCAGAACCTAACAATGCGTCCAGACTCTTAGTAAAGCCATTTTGGGCACAAATAAGGGCTGCTTTCCCTGTATCTGAATCCGCATTTAATACTAGGGATTGATCCTTGCAAAGCCATTCTACTATTGCATTCTTGCCAAATGTACACGCAACTACCAGTGGCGACTCGAACGACTCGTCAATGGCATTAATGCGTGGTTTATCACCGAGCAAGAATTTGCAAACTTCAATGTGGCCCATCGTACACGCCGTAAGAAGATGAGTTTCGTCACGCTCCATAGTAGAATTATCATCTCCTTCATCATTGACAAGATGTTTAACAATTGAGAGATCACCTTGCAAAACGGCAGCGTGAAGGGCTTCGTTAAGTAGCTTCTGGCCGGCTGGCTCGTTCTTGATAATCCTGATCAGTACCTTGAGCGGCTCCGTTATGCCAAGAAGAGTAATAAGGTATAAAAGAGATGGTGGCCTTAAATCCTTGTTCTTGGCAAGGTTTGAATGGATCACAATCTCGCTAAGGCATCTTGTACCTCCCATTTGCGCTGCTTCGAGGACTTCTGGTTTCAGTTGGTCAATGCTCTCCAGCTTTTGCACAAGAGCCTTGTAGGTTTCCAAATAATCATTGCGTGCAGCCTCACTTATGGCTGGTATCAAATCATCCTTGCAACGATCAACCAAACCATCCAGAAGACAACTCATTCCAAGGCCCGAGGCGATGGTAAGGGGGGATAAACAAAAGCTTGACAAGGGTGTTTCTGAGCTCGAAAGATAGCTATAAAGTTTAGCCCAGTTACAGAGGGCATTTTTGTTATCAGTTCCAAAAAATTCAAGAACTTTCTCCTTGAGAGGTGGCAGTGCTGTTGCTAAATGGTAATGATCTGGCCATCGAGCAGTTGCGTACCAGAGCGGGCTCTCGGTGTTAATTACCGCATCGATCTCTTGGTTGGAACTCTGGTTTTGAGGGTCTAAGATGTAGTTTAGTCCGCCCTGAACAATATCGGAACGTAGATATGATATACATAGCATTGCTATCTTAGCATGAACATCGCCGTCCGTCGAAAAGTTATACCAATTGTTCTGTGAAGTCCCGTCTGCGCGACTAGATAACATCTGGACTATTGGATATAGTAACTTTATCGATCCATCTACCTCTAAAATAAATGGCCCAAGATAGTTGAGGATATGTGTACTAAGACTTCGCCCCTTATCAAATTTATCAAGTAAGGTGCTTATCTGTGACCAAGTCAGAGGCTCAAGTGAGCCAAGCAACAACGCGAGGGCGCAATGGCATAGTGGCCTCAAACAAGGGGGAATAGAGCTCATAACTGCCAGAAATTTAGTTTCTGTAGCAGCACAGAAACCTACTGTGACCTGGCGGTTAGACGAAAGTGAGTTCTCGTTGTCAGCCACTATTCCCCCCGAAGGCTCAGTATTAAAAGTCTGGGGAGTGTTCGGTTTCAGGCCACGATTAGATATAATCGAATCCTCTGGACTCGGTTGTACAAAATTTGAATGATGTTCCGGAAGATATTCCGAAGTTGATGGAGGTTTCATGGGAACACAGTCAGAGGCATTATGGGCACTCGCGGGTGCGGAGTCAACGCTCAATATGGGCATGTCTTCCAACACTTCTTTGATTTCAGGTGTAGGCACTGAAACGATGAAAATTTTGAATGACCTTTCGGACGCAGCAGTAGCTTGAACAAGCGATTTCAAAAACCACCTGACTGGTCCTTTGCACTGGTCTATCCCGCTTAGAATATACGTCGTGGGGATAGAAGTTCCTTTGAGGAGTAGCTCTATCCAACACTGGAAGAGGAGTTTCTCACTCCTAATATTCGATCTTAGTATTCCCCTGAGGAACTTATCCACTAGGGGGCCGTTGCTAACACAGTACCTACTTGTGAGTTGACTCAGGATGGTTGAGAGCATAGATAGAATTGTGTTGAAGCGATGATCGGATGAATCGAATTTGAAATGTATGACTTCATCTTTTGTTTTTTTACTGTGAAGAATGTCGTACACCTGCCAAGCTACCGATTCAAGTTTGGGAATCTCGTTCCCATAGAAGCATAGGATGCAAGAATCTCTCCTGTTCATCCATTTTTGAAATACATCCATTTTTTCAATACCAAAACTCTTTTCGGCTTTTGCATCGCACCGTTGTGGGAATAATGGAGAGGCATCCAATAGGAGGGCAGGTAGGCTTTCGATTAAAAAATCGGGGTTGATTGCTTCATATCATTAATAACTGCTTAGTTTGTATGTTGCAAGAATAAAGCTTACGATACGGCTCACGTCCTAGATCATCGTAGAGACCCTGAAAAGTACGATTATGTTTGGGTTCGTGTGTCAATTCCATGTGCGGTTTGGCAATCCCAACCTGAATTTCAAATGGAAGGCCCACGGTAGCTGAATACTTGTCGAAAACCTGCCGCCGACGTTAATTGTTTAATAATTCACAGGCAGCTTAGAATCTGATGGGATTCACCCAGGCAAATTTCTTCCAGCTTACCTGTAGTTGTAGGGCAGTTTCAGTTGAGAAAATATTCGCCAAAGTAATACGAAGTGGTAATTTGGTGTTCAGGAATGCTCGGTGGGCTTTTATCGCTATATCTGACAGTGTCTGGACTCTTTTCACGACATTTGCTTGTGGCACACCTGCCGCAAACAGAAGTCTGCAAATATTATCCTCCATATGAACTTTGGTTGGGGCTCTATGAGGGCAGCCGAAGAAAATCTTGGTATTGGTCAATGATGTATTCTAATCTTATCGACAAAACTTTGAGATGTATTGGATATGTGGTAGTTCTTACTATAGCCCGTATAACCTTTTGCAAGCCATTGAACCGAGAGAAAGGGAGTGAGGCAATTGCCAAGGCCTGGAGCAGTGTGAGCGTTCATCACTTTTGTGTAAGTAAAACACACCTGCTTTACGATAAGACCACCTATATCGTTGGAAACCATAATGATCGGTCGGTTGGTGGAGGCCTTTCACTCAAACATTAGCTTGTGGGAGGATTGGTGTTACCGTATAATGATTTATAATAATTATACCAAGACCTTTAAGTGTGAATATTACAATTGAGGTGTTCACTATACACTGCTAATGAGAAAATGTCTGAGACTTACATCATTTATCCCCTCTCTACATCTAAGAAGTGATTCTAAGAGCACCTGGGCGTGATATTCGACTTGTCCAGGATTTGAAATGGCATAGGAAGAGGATATGTCATCGCTGTAGCAATATCTCAGGCAGCGAATCCAAAAGAATTCATATGGTAGCTGATCAAAAATGACGGACTTCAGCCATGTTGCTCTCGTATCTTCTGAGCAGGGCCAATCATCTTTTCCATTTCCGTAGAGGCCATGAATAAGGACAACGCTACGAAACTATGTTAATAACGTAATCCAACTATTTCAACTTTCCCTCCTGGAGAGGATTTGCGTACTCGATATCAGGAATGCTCTTTGAATTAAAGGTGTCTTCAAGAAGTCGGCCCCTATGATTAGGGTTGGAATTAAGGCTGTTTTCCATTACAGGATTCGGGGATATCCTTTGAACACGGTAGTAATTTAAATTGTTCTTCTTAACTTCAATTTCCTGTCACTTTTAACCAGGTAACTAGAGTAAGCATAGGATCAGTATTGAGAGAGTAAGTAAATATTAGCGGTGGAAGCGAGTGCATAGTTAAGCGTGTTTAATAATGATATTAAGTACCTAGGTACTTATAAAGCACCCCCATGCGTGCTTGCGTAAACGGGTAGTGCAGCTAATAATACTATACATAGGTAACTACAGTAGGTAGGTAGGTAACTATTAATGTAAACTCGTATTTTCCAAGTACTATCATACCAATGAAAATTTTCACTTAATATATACCTACGTACCTAAAGTACTTACAATATCACACATTTAATATATTCAGTACGTACAATTTTATATTAGTTGGGATCATACCCTTTGTACTAGATACCTACAACACAACCATTAAAGCAAGCCACGTTACCCTATTAACCACTCAATTCTCTGACCCATTGATTTTGGGCTTCGTAGGTCCTACCAACCCCGCATCCCAAAAGACAGTTCGAATGATTGCCCCAAGATTATTTACATCATATGATTTCAAATTATTTGTCGGTGGAAGACCTGGTTTGAAGAGAACTGGGTCATCATTGCTCTTGGATCCAACCAGCCATTCAAGTCTCGTCTTCCAGTCTGCTCTAGCTTTGACATCTACTGTGCATTGAAAAAGATCCATGTCGTCTCTTAGAAGAAGTATAGCAACTTGGAATGTGGCGGGGATACCAGTATGGCATGTTTCATTTTCTAGGAGTGTCCAAGACGCGCAATTAGGTGTGCCATTGTAGTCATCTATCAGGTCGATCGAGCCTGTAACAGTAGTGGCATCCGCTATATCTTGGGTAATTGTTTTGCTCCAACTGTAGTTGCCTCCGGCCGAAGCACCGGCTAGAGAAGCATCGGCGTGCGTAGAGGCTTCACGGAAGTCTTCTTGATGTATACTTGTCTCAACGAGTGCGGCCCGATCATGGGGGGAGATAGCATACACCTCTGGCCGGTTGCCCTCAGGGTCCATGCCCGAGAATTTAATTTCAATATCAGCACTGGCGAGTCGTCGCCCGAGTTTCCGTTTGTCGAACCAAAATTTGAAGACAAGTAGCGTTGCTAGACCTGGCTTGTCTTGCTCAAACTTCCCGTGGACTACGTCTAGTGATTTGCATTGAATATTGAAGGCATCCTTCCGCTGCAAAATACGTTGGCGCTGCCAGGGTGTGATTGGGTTGTTGCGGTGATCAAAATTAAACCCGCTACCTGGATCACCAGTTGGGAGCAAATTGATATCGAATGAAGGAAGGGATTCCTCGACATGCTCAGAGTTTGACATGGCCGAATGGTAGAATCTGGACTTGCTGATGGAGGATCGTTGGAGCCGACCACAGTTGTGTGCGTCGGAATCATAATGTTAAATAGGTACATAGTGCTACATTCTAACGTTGCTTTTGAAAATAATGCCTCAACGTTCTGCAGATACGAGATAGGTTAGGTACCTAGTAATGCCCAATCAGCTTCTAGCTGTGTGATATTCCGTTTCAGCTACATCGTAGGATCATACCATCGTGACATTGTGGCGGCGTACTATTGGTAAGGGTTCTGTACGGGTAGGCAGAAGTATCTAATACTTATGCAACTATAATCGCCCAAGACATGTAAATCCACGCATGTAAGACTTTGGACACAGCCCAGATTTCTCATACTGAACGGCGAACTCCCCAGCCCCGCTTCGGTGTTCGGTGTTAGCTTTAGGGTAGCCTCATCTTTCCAAACTTTAGGTACTCAGGTTCTTGTTACTCGGTGACCAGGTACACCACGAAGAAAATAAGGTTGTATGTGCTTCGATTGTCAATCTATACCATTTAAACTCACTTACCATTGTTATTCAAAAGACAATCAAGAATCCTGTTAGCTCTGACAAATCGTATCGTGGTTTGTATAAAAACGGATAAGAACGACAAATCTGTAATATGAGTACCCCGACAATAAATACAAGTGAAGATTTGGCAGAAGTACCCAGTAATGGCGAAAATCTCCGAGTGTCAAGTTTTCGTCGAGCTATTGGCTCTCTGAATAGGGATGAGAGATCTAAAGCTACTAACCTGTTCAAAAGCATTATTGAGCAGTTGAAAGAAAATGAACCCCAAAGAACAAATTTCGAGGACGAAACTTACCGATTCACGATTAACAAGGGGGAGACCCTGTTACATAGGATTGTGGCTGCGTTTGATCCAGAAGTTGACGATGACGACGAGGAAATCGAAGACGAAGATCAGAAAAATATCCGGAATAATCAATCTCTTCAAGCTTTCGTTAAGGGGCTCGTGGAGAACAACAGTGATATGCTCGAAGTGAAAAACAAGGCGACTGAAACACCTCTTCATCGTGCAATTGGGGATAGCAATTCTCATTTGGTGGAATGGATGTGCAAAGATTGTGATCCAGCAATCCTATCAAATGCGCTCGCAAAAACCACGGAAAAAAAATTAAACTGCTTACATCTTGCCATGCAGTCGAAACTTCCGGTCAAAACCATTTTATACCTTATTGAACAAGCCAATGAGGAGACTTTAACAGCAAAGACTGGGCAAGGTCTCACACCAGTCCATCTGGCTGTTCAATACCGCAGCTGCGGTAGGGATAACTGGAATAAGGTCATCCGAGCTCTATTTGATAAGGCCGACAGCGCTTTGGATGTAGAATGTGGCCAACAAGGCAATCAATCTGTCTTTCGTTACCATGAAGAGTCGCGTATGAGGGAGTATCTAAAGAGCAAAAGCAGTCAGTCAAGATCCGATGGCAGTTCTCATCCCAAAGGAACTGTCCCACAGCATATTCATTCATCTAGCAGACGTGGTTCAAACGTCGCAGAGTACGACAGTGGATCGAAACCCCGCCCATACCAATATACTCAAACTAATAAACCTCAAATTAATGGTCAACAACCAATTACAGAGCATGAGGCGAAGGAGGCGAAGGAGGAGGAAAAGAAGAGAGAGAAAGAAAGAATGAAAGGACAAGACACAAACCAATCTTCAGATAAAGGGAAAGGGGAAATAGCCATTGAAGATGAAAGCAAGAAGAGGAAGTTGGAAGAAAGAGCAAATGAGATCAGGGAATTCATGAAATTGTATTATCTCCGTACTAGAGATGCTGAACAAGCCGTGACTTGGCTTTACGGTAACAATCCGGAGGGTACGTCCCGCACTTCTATAAGTTTATTACATATTAATCATTGTGTTAATATAGGTATTCAAGTCGACTTCGACCACTTTGAAGCAGAAGTTGGCAGTGAGGATGCTAAGTTCAGGCAAATCATCGTCAAAGACTTCTGTGAGGTATTCGAGCACTTCCGGTTTGATCCAATTCTAAAGTCTGTTCATTTTCGAAACCTACAGCTCGAAGTAGAAAGTAATTTTGTATTTGGTGATAACAAGCCTTTTCAACTACTCAGCAAAGATAATGGCCGAACAGACATCATGTTTTTATTCGACTGGTTGTGGCATACTAAAGGTGTCAGACGCATCCTTGAGGTCACAATGGAAGACTTTGATGAACCACACAGTGACGAGGCTATCGAGGTGTGTTTGGAGAGATTCAAGGTTGAGGTTCTCGACTGGCAAAAGGTTGATCTTTGTCCTGGGGTAATTTCAAAGATCGGAAGTCACCTACGGGAAGTTTCTCTTCACTGGAGTGGCCGAAATGCCGTCTTGAGGGGTTGGAGTGAACAATATGGACTTGTTCAATGCCCGAAGCTTATAAGGATCAACCTTCAGTTTCCCAAGGTATGTTATACAGAGTACTGCAAATATTAGATCATTCTCAGTCTGACTAAGACAATTTGATTGTTTTACCTTAGAATCTTGCAACCAGCAACAGAACAATGCAAAATATCTCTATCTTCAAAGAGAGATTGTCAAAGTTCAGAACTTCTAACAACAGTATCGAAGTCACGTATGATCATGACCTCAACTCAAGCTGGGGCTTGCCACAGACATACAGCATACAGGCGCCAATTATGAAGAACGAAAATGCAGGCCAATACAACATGCAAGAGTGGATCCGTTGCATAGATAGTTTCTCCCAAAAGATTCAAAACATTGACCCTAAAAAGGCATTGTCAAACGAATTACTGAAAAATATACCTAGCTACCTATTTAAGGACGTAGTTGTTGCAGTCATAGACGACGGCGTCGATATCGGGAACAGAGCCTTACGCGGGAAAATCGATGGGGGTAAGAGTTTCGACACCGGTCCACAAGGTCACTATCGATCATCAACAAATAACCACGGCACAGTTATGGCAAGCATGATCGTCCGCGTTTGCCCCAAGGTTAAAATATACGTTGTCAAACTCCAAACGTATATGAGTGAATCGGCTATTCAAATCGATATTCAAAGTGCTGCTAAGGTTAGTAACACAAGTTATCTAGTAGAACTAACGCCTTTTCAAGAAATTACACTTACTGATGAAGTTTTGTTATAGGCAATTCAAGCAGCAGTTGACCATGGTGTAGATATTATTTCCATGTCATGGAGCGTGAAGAAGCCAGATGAAAATACAGCTGAGAAAAATGCATTAGACCAAGCACTAGAGAATGCTAAAGACAAGGGTATCTTGCTATTTTGCTCATCTGGGGACCGAGGTGATCTCGAAACTGAAACATACCCAGGCGCATATAGCGGCGGCACCATATTTAGAATTGGTGCCGCCACAGCCACTGGCAAGGGCCGCGAAGGGACACCGGAGCTCAGCCGAATAAATTACCTCCTGCCCGGATTCGAAATACCGGAGCGAAAACCCAAGGGTGTAAAGGCCGACTTGTACACTGGTTCTTCAGTATCAACAGCCTTGGCAGCTGGTCTAGCCGCTCTAGTTCGTCACTGCATACGCCTTGGTGTTATTTGGACGAAGACAGCCAGTGTGGAGGAACGAGATCGGTATCGAGTAAAGATTGACGAGAAGAAACTTGACTCCATGCGCACACCGGGGGAGGCTTTTAAATGTATGAATTATGCCTTCCAACAATTCGGTCTCAACGAAAATAATCACAAGTATATTGAAGTATGGAAACTACTTGAAAAGGATGAGTTCATTTCAAGATGGAAAGGAACCCAAGCCGAACGGTTAAGAGAGATTGCGAAACTTGGCCAATTGTTTACGGGTATATTTTGAGCAAAACTCGCGCTCACCTTAGTATTTATCAAGTAACTCTCGTCTTACTCTAGTGTTTTCAAATATACTAATATTGGCTTATAACACCTTTTCATGCTTTTGAAACTACACTTTAATAAAAAATGGGGCGTTGGTTAAAGTATATAAAAATCTAAGCTAATATGTTGATTTTGGTATAACTTTTGTTGTGTGTACATCTTAACCTTTTTTCATTTTTTAATGCTGGTGTTTATTTAAACAACTATACTTCATTTGATAAGCAATCCTCATATATCCTAAAGTATTTTCGTTGTTATTGCTTTTTTCCCTAACTAAAACATAGTACCGAAAGCAGAACCAGCACTATTATACACTAAGATTTTTGACACTTTATAACCTTATATAACAGATCATGTTTGCTAATATACGAAGTTATCACAATCTTTAGTAACTCCGAACTTTTTCCATTTTATTAATGTTTATACGTTGTTAAAACATTGTTAGTCCTTATGTTAAACAAGACTGTAATTAACGGTTTGACTTATGTAACGGGCACGATAAACCAAATAATTAAGTAACTTTACCTAACTAGATTTAACTTAAGTAAATAGATTTTAAAAATGATTTGTTTGATTTATAAAAACCAAAAAAAGTGTTTGTTTAACAAACAGGTAAAAATGAAGGTATATATAAATACTTTTAAATGGTAGGTGGTAGATTTAAGGTAAAAACTTTGTGTGGCTGACGTGGCTAAACCTGTAGCTAAATGTGGCTTTATAAAGGCTTTATTCGGCCAAGTAAATGTCAGCTTATATACTTATCTGTCCGACATATATCAACTTTTATATTAACTTTTATATATTTTATTAATATTACCACAATTTTTTCGACTAATTAAAAACTTAAAATCGCTTGCAGTTTGCAACTTTTTTTTTTGCTATTTTATCGTATAAGGTTTATAAAAAAAGTTTCTATGAGATGTACTTAAGTACATCTTAGCACGTGACCTTCGGTCACGTGTCATCCAAACGCTCATCATAAATAAGTGTTTGTAAAAAAAAAAATAATAATTGTTATTTTAATAACCTTAAATTAAAAATTTAAAAATGGTTTAAAAAGAAGTACCTTTTTTAACCACACTTTTTCCCAACCAATTACACCCCGGTACACCCCCTTAAAACATTTTTAAATTTTTAATTTAAAGTAATTTTAAACATTTTCTTTTTAATTAATATAGTAATAATTAAATTAATTAAAAATATTAATTAAAAATATTAATTTTAATGCGTTTTTATAATAAGTTAAGTTTTTATATAAAAATAAATATTAATTTAATTATTTAAATAAGTTATTATATATAAAACGTACACGTTTTAAGTCGAAATTAACTATAATACCGGTCGTAACGCCGATTGCAATATCGGTCGCAACGTAATAACCGCAATAAACGTTAAAACTTATAATATTATAACGCAATATCGTATAAATATATAAAAAAGGTTAAAAAGATTGGGTAATTAAATAAATAGCTTTAGATTAAAAAATAAAAGGTATTTTAAACGTGGTTATAAGTATAAGCGCGAGGTTGTAAATGGTTGTAAATATAAGCGCGTAAGTATAAACGCGTGAATATAATGTTTTAAAGTTATTTAAACGTTAAGGCCTACAATATTATAACGCGATATTGTATAAGTATGTAAAAAAGACAAAAAAGTAACGAAAGTAAAAAACTAACCTCGAATAATTAAAATAAAAGGTATTTTAAACGTGGTTATAAGTGGTTATAAATGTAAACGTATAGGTATAAATGCGTGGGTATAACGTTAAAACTATTATATATTTTTAAACGTTAAAGCCTATAATATTATAACGCAATGTCGTATAAATATATAAAAAAAATAAAAAAGTAATAAAAGTAAAAAATTAACCTTAAATAATTAAAATAAAAGGTATTTTAAACGTTATTATTATTTATTATATTATTATTGATATAATTTTATTAAAAGTTTAAATGTATACCAGGTATGGTTAAAATGTTAAATAGTAGTTAAGATTAGAATTTGAAAAACGCCTCCCCCGAGACCTACAGATATAAATATATAGACTAAGGATTTTGTGGCGTTTGTGGCGCCAACGAGGGGGAGGCGGAGGCGGGCGAAACCCTGCCGCTCCTCGAATCTCTAGTCTTAGCACACTAAGATAAAATAATTGTATCATTAGATTTTATTCAATCAATCATCTATTATCCAACAGTTTCCCTATTCGCACTACCAACGTATAAATCCCACCTATTTTCAATTCAACCCTAACATTTCAACCATTATAACTTTGTCAATCCAACAATGCAACGTATATAATTTACATCATTAAAATCACCTCAATTAGAGCTTTCGAATAATATAGGCCTCGAATAGATGCATGCAGTATTTCAATTGCTATTCGAATAGGTATCTATACAATTCCATGCTTATGCGACCGCGAAGGGGTATCACGTGGTCTCCCCCAGGAGCGACTATCACAACCATTTATACCCAATTAACTTTACCCCTAGGGCCCGCATCTTATAGTATTGTGTATCATTGAATAGCCCTAATTGAGGCGATTCTAATGATATAAGATTTATATGTTGCATTATTGAATTGAATACGATATATTGGTTGATGTTGTGGGTGTGGTATGAGGCTCGGCGGGAGGCTCTTTTGCGGTCGCACGCCACGTTGAATTGACTATATCTTCGAATAGCAATTGAAATACAGCATGCATTTATTTGAGACCTGTATCATTCGAAAGCTCTAATTGAGGCGATTCTAATGATCCAAGATTTATCTATTGTATTGTTCAATTGAATACGATATGTTGGTTGATGTTGTAAATGAGGCTCTGCGTTGAAAATGGGTGGGATGTATTTCGATGTATAGTAGTGCGGATAAGCTTCCGATAAGGATTCTTAGTAGTGCGAATAGGGAAACTTTATAAAAAATGTAAAAATTATAAAAATATTATATAAAACGCGTTTAACAATATTAATTATTAAAACTTTTATCTAAAGGTAAAACAATTTAATTAATTTTATAAAAAATTTATCAAACGTACGCTAGTGTATGGCTAGCCAATCAAAGGCCAAATCTATTTGTGGCGTGAGTTTTGCCCTCCCGTACTCGCTTGCGCGGACAAGCAACGCAGCTAATAAAATGTAATAGAATAAAGTTTATTACGAAATAACCTTTTAGTGGTAAAGCAGTGTATTCGACAATAAGCCTTATTTTCAATATATTTGACCTGACTCATAAAACTCGCTGTTTTGAACGTGCTAGTATACACTGTTGGTAGCCAGATGCTAGATGCGCTTTCTAAAAATCGCTTAGATATAGTAGTTGCAGAGATAGCTAAACCTGTTGGGACTTGCGATATAATTCGATTGGACATCGTGCAAATGATTGCGTCGTGGTAGTCTAGCGCGAATTTAGCATGCATTCAAGCGTTCTAACTCCGAAGTTTTTTCAAAAGGAAGGTGAAGATGGGTAATGGAGGTCATGAGCACCAACCATGTCAAATATATAGACCTCTGTAAGGGATGTGGCACGAGAATTAGAAAGCTACCTAGGTACCTGTTCACTAAAAAGGAAAGGTGAGTTTTTGCCTTCCACAAACTACAACGGCACTTACAACTAACATACATAGTGTCAAGGTATAAGTAGTACTAGTATGAATTAATTATAGATCCACACGAGATAGATATGTATATAAAAGGCACGTAATGCCCTCGAAAGAAAATAGAAGGTTAAGCGTCAATAGATTAATATTACTACACGGCTACTATACAGCAGCAAAGCTACTACTTCTAACATTGTATTAGAATTATATATGTCTCATCTAGAATAAAGAACAGGTTTAGTATGTATAGACTTAAAATCTCATAGGGACCTGTTAAAGTTCCTCGCGGAACAACGAAGTTGCTTCCATGCTTTTTGGCTCCACCTTGTGAGACTTCCCAAATATTAAGAGTCATAAAAGTAAATAAAATATAGGAATAGATCTAGTATATCTAACTACCTAAGGTATTAATTGTTACTTGATGCGACAATGCTGTGGAATGAAGTACATGATTTTTATCTGTGAATATCTTGTCACCTCGAATTACCAGAGGTAGATGCAATAAGAATAAATCAAAGGGTCCTAAAACTATAACGCCATAACGCTAAAATATATAGTTACAGTTTTTTCTATTAGGAAAGTTTTCGCACGGGTCGGCCCTTGACGTTATAATGACATTGAGTTTTAGGTACGTATTATAGTTGCTATAAGGAGGTGCCAGGGCTGCAGGGCTGTAGTGTTGCAAGGGAGCAAACTTTTAAGGGGCACATACCTTAGGTACGTAGGTACGTAGGTACTTAACGTATTAGGTAACATAGTGAGTTGTCCATATGCTGAGTCAGCAACAACCCCCTGAATCAACGTCACGTCAACTTCGACAGAGAAGACTGCCCGATAAATAACCCAGACATAGTGAAATCGATTCAACTTGAGTAGAATGTTATGACTTATATACCTATTGTTTCGTTTGGGATTCTAATAATGTATCATTTAATGCCTTGGGACGCAAAATCCTTAATATTCAAGATAAAATATATAATAGCACATGCGCCTCAAGAAAGGCGAAAAGTGACTCGGTAATCAATACAAAAATAATCAATTTAAATACTATGCGATATTTTGATGGATTATGGTCCGACATTGAATGGCGTTTACGTGCTGATGATGTTCGACATCGGATCTTAGATATACCTGATTCAGCAAGCATATCAACAACTAAATCATGGATAATTTACCTAATCAATAATATATTCGAGTGCCAAGGGAAAAATAATAAAATAAACATATCTCCTCTGCTTTTAAGTTGACTCATTGTATTTCTTAATCGACTAACCGTCTATCCAACGCGATCTTTAAGGATACCTCAAGTACGTACTATAACTCAAACTTACAACCTCGATCAACACATCACTACAGCAACTTAGATC